GGGCGGGGCTTGTTTATTTATTTATTTATTCCTTCAATTTCTATCCCGCTCACCCCCTAGGGGCTCTGAGCGGCTTACAATTCCGATTTAACCAATCTAATCTAGGGCCACATATGTAGGGGAGGTGAGAAGCCTACCAGGCACCCTTATCCTGTTGTAGCAGATCTTCTTTCTTGCGAGGGGACAGTTGCATGTGCCCGCCCCCTGGGCTCTTTACTGCCGGAGCTCCGCTCCTGTGCGCTCCTGCAGGAAATGACCCCTGGTGCTAAGAACAAAATGTGTGAGCTAGAGGCTAAAATCTGTGAGCTAGCTCACACTAACTCAGCTTAGAGGGAACACTGGTTGCAGCTCCTCCTTTTCATCCCAGATCACATGCCACCTGGGAGCCATGCCCTTAATTCCTGTGAAGATCAATGAGTGTGCTATGCCAGGAGAGGGGTTGCATTCAATGTACCCAGATCTAGGCTGGTGGGGATGAAGGATATCTCCTGTCTTAGGATCCTCTCCTTTCCTGGAACTTCATCCCACCCACTGCCCAAAGGGGGGTGGTGGTGGTGAGCAGTGTTCCCTCTAAGCTGACGGTGTGAGCTAGCTCACAGTCTTCTAGCCTCCGCCTCACACATTTTTGTCTCAGCTCAGGAAAGATGGCTCCAGAGCAAACTAATTTACGCAGTAGCCAAATCGCTCACCCACAACTTTAATGCCAGTAGCTCACAAAGTAGGATTTTTGCTCACAGGACTCCACAGCTTAGAGGGTGCATTCTTCTAAGAAGAAGAAGAGATTGGATTTATACCCCGCCCTTCACGTAGAGTCTCAGAGGGGCTTACAAACTCCTTTCCCTTCCCCTCCCCACAACAGACACCTTGTGAGGTGGGTGGGGCTGAGAGAGCTCTGACACAAACGGCTCTTTTTTCAGAGCGGCTTACAAACTCCTTTCCCTTCCCCTCCCCACAATAGACACCCTGTGAGGTGGGTGGGGCTGAGAGCGCTCTGACACAAACGGCTCTTTTTCAAGGACAGCTGTGGCAGAGCTTGTGACTGACCCAAGGTCACATCAGCAGGTGCAAGTGGACGAGTGGGGAATCAAACCCGGTTCTCCCAGATTAGAGTCCACACACCTAACCACTACACCAAAGCTGAGTTGGTGTGAGCCAGGTCACAGTCTTTTCGCCTCCGGCTCACACATTTTTGCCTTCGCTCAGGAAGGAGGGCTCCAGAGCAGACTGATTTATGCCGAATCGTTCGCTCACAACTTTAATGCCAGAAGCTCACAAAGTAGGATTTTTGCTCACAGGACTCCACAGCTTAGAGGGTGCATTGGTGGTGAGTAGTGTTCCCTCTAAGCTGAGTTGGTGTGAGCCAGCTCTCAGTCTTTTTGCCTCCGGCTCACACATTTTTGCCTTCGCTCAGGAAGGAGGGCTCCTGAGCAGACTGATTGGTGCAGCAGCCCAGTCGCTCGCTCGCTCACAACTTTAATGCCAGTCGCTCACAAAGCGGGATTTTTGCTCACAAGACCCCACAGCTTAGAGGGAGCGTTGGTGGTGAGCTGTTCGGGAATCAGTGCTGTAGGCAGGGCTCTACTGGTAGCAGAAGCTCCTTTGCATATTAGGCCCCACACCCCTAGTGTGGCCAATCCTCCAAGATCTTACATAGCTCTTCTTACTGGGGCTACTGTAAGCTCTTGGAGGATTGGCTACACTAGGGGTGTGTGGCCTAATATGCAAAGGAGCTACACACACACACACACACCCTCCGTGACGCCTGTTCCATGCCCAGAAGATGACAAAAAACCCCTCCAGGATTTCAAGCCAAACTGGCTGCGATTAGTACCTGCAGACCGTCTCTGATAGGAGCTGCAGTTGCAGAATTGTCCAAAAAAAAACACCCCAATCCCC